AGAGAGAGAGAGAGAGAGAGAGAGAGAGAGAGAGAGAGAAGCCATCTTTGCCATCCTCCCATCTCCGCCATGATTTCCCAGAGACAACTGTTTGTTCTCCCTGCAGGTACCTGAAGATTCCCTTGAAGACTCTCTCAATAACTCACTGGGAAGTTTTCCCATCAGACTGGAAACATCTGTCACAGTGCCCTAACATCAGTCAGCTGAGAGACCTGGATCTGAGGGGAGTCAGACTGACTCAATTTAATCCCAAGCCCATGCAGCTTTTGTTGGACAAAGTTGCAGGCACCCTGACCACCCTGGACTTGGAATCATGTTATATGACAGATTCCCAGATCAGCGCCATCCTGCCTGCCCTCAGCCACTGCTCCCAGCTCACCACCATCTGCTTCTATGAGAACAACATCTCCATGTCTGTCCTGAAGGACCTGCTGGGCCACACTGCCTCCATGAGCCACTTAAGTCTGGAGCAGTACCCTGCCCCACTGGAGAGCTATAATGACACTGGCGATCTGCAACCAGAGACATTTGTCCAACTTTGTGCTGAGCTGAGGGAGACTCTGAGAGCCATAAGGCAGCCAAAGATGGCTGTGTTTGGTGCAGATCCCTGCCCACATTGTTACCACCGATTCCTCTATTGCACTGAGGCCTCTCCGTGTAGCTGTGGGTTTAACTATGATTGCAAAACTATCAGAAGTTTTCTTCTGGACTTTTGGAATCAGAAGCCAAGGAATAGGATTATCTATAAGAGGATCCAACAAAGTCTAGACCCTTGTTTTCTGTGAGTAGGAAAGGGATGGGTAAAACTGGGGGAATGGGATTAGAGGGTAAAAGGTTTCCTGGTGAGCCACGGGACATGGGTGAACCTGTGTCCTTGCAGCCAGAAATATGACACTGAATTCCTGGGAGTGGATTCCAGCTTCAGAGTTCCATGAGGATGGTGCCACTGGGAGGATATTTGTAGGAAATGGGTCAGAAATAGAGGGATTTGGTACATGTCACCCTGTATCCATAGCTCATTAGCCTGGACTCCAGTTCACATGTAGAAAAACCCCTGTGTCAGTAATGAAAGACCATGAGCTATCTGAGCCAGGTGCCCAGGGCCTTGTGGCATCTAAACATTTTTGGACCATTCTGATCATTCCTTTTCATTCCTGACTTCTCTCATGCGCCATGTCCCACCAGGATATGTGGTTTTTCAGTGGATGAAGGTACACAATGTTTTCACTTTCAATAATTAAAATTGTAGGTGTGGTGGCACAAACCTGTAATCCCAGCCTTCAGGGGGCTGAGGCAGGAGGATCACTGTGAGTTTAAGGCCACCCTGGGCTACATTGTGAGTTCCAGTTCAGTCTCAACTATGTAGCGAGACCCTGTCTCAAAAAAACAAAACAAAACAGAAAAAATTAATACAGACTATCTCTCCAAAGCATAGTATATTTTGGAAGAGCAGAAATCATGCTTTGGGGGACATCTTTCTATTTCAGCCAAGGAGGAAAGAAAATAGATGAAATGGGGGAAAGCCAGCTTTCTGTGCAGCATAATGCTGGGACCATTGAACACTGTGCATCACTGGTACAAAGTTCTCCAAAAGAAGGACAAATGTACTTCTCTAGAGCTAAGAGAATGTACTGTAGAAAGAAATGATGGTGGTTTAAAGGTTCTCAGTACTTCCATTCTCATATCTGTCCTCTTGGCCTTTTGAAGAAATCTACGGCTGGACAGTCTGCTCACGCATTTTTATGTACTTTTTTTTCAAAATTGACTGTTAAGTTTCTTTTGTAAGAATGCTTTTAGTTTATGTCTTGGACTCTTAGTAGCTATTCTGGAGGAAACAATACAAAGTGTGACAACTGTTGGAGCTATCTTTTAATTTGATTGTGAAATTTTATTTGGTTTTCTCATAAAATACAGAATAAAAATTGACTGTCTCTGAGTCACTCTAGACTTTCTGGCTCCAAAGGAATCTGGAACTTCCTTCTTGCTCTCAAATGCACTATCCCGGTGGGATATTTGCTATGATACCTTTCATTCATGTCCCTAGTTTTATTTTTAAAGTCTGCCTTAAGAGCAGTGCAACTATTTCCCAACTATTTCCTGGGTTTCTGGGAGTTCAAGTTGTTGGGGTCGCTCTCAGAGTCTCATGATGGAGGTAGAACCCCACATACCCAAACCCCACATTATCAGTGATGTTTGCACCTGATGCCTCTAACCTTACCCTTGAGAATGAATCCCAGCCTCGTGGTGCCCCCTTTTTATTCCCTTGAGGAGACAAGGTGATGCTTGTCTTAGGTTTTTCTGTTTTCTCTTGTTCTGCATTGTTTTTGAGGCCAGGTCCTGGTATTTTGTTTAGCTGGACTTGAACTCACAGAGAAACTCTCCTATCGGCCTCTCAGGTATGCAGATCACAGGCTTTATGCCCCTCTGCCTGGCATAATGTTAAGGGTTTTTCTTTTTCTTTCTTTCTTTTTTTAATGGGGTCTTACTATGAATTCCATGACGGCTTCTGTCAGACCCACCGACAAGTTTATCCTGATCCAAGGGAGAACAGGGAATAAAGACAAAAGACAGATAATTAGGAAGACCTGGGAGGGACAGGAAAATCCTGCCTCTAGTGCACAGAAGAGCCCCAAACAGGCAGCACTCTTCATTTTTATTATACATACACGAAGAAGCAAACAAGCAGGTGATCCAGGGTTCACAGAAAGTTCATCAGGTTCTCATGATTTACAGATTGTACCCAAATGTTATTTTCTTTCATCAGACTTCAGCCATTGCTGACTCTCTTTGAATCTGGGTGGTGCTGGCAGCTAAAGAACAGACTCACAGGAAGAATGGCTTTCTATCTCCTCCCATGTGTGCGAGTGCTCGTGTGTGTTTCTGGTACTGGGAATTAAACTCAGGACCCTGGGCTTGCCAGGCAGATGGAGTGCCACTGAGCTAAATCCCCAGCTCTCTCTCATGTTTCAAGGAGAGTTTAACCTAGGCTTCAACATGTACATCTGGTTTCCCCCATCTTCTTCTTTTTGTTTTGTATTTGCAGAAGCAAAGGTTGAACTTATCATATTGTTGTCTGGTTCTTCCTCTGAGGTAGCAGGTATGTAACAGGCTTTAACAAAGAAGGATTACGCACCTGTGCCCAGTGAGAATCGCTCTGTCCAGCAAATATGTATACAGTACGTGTTACATGGCTGTCTTTAATTTTCCCCACATTATTGGGTTTGTAACTCATGCACATCACAGAAGTTGCCTTTGGTTATTGTCACCCAATTTCATCTAGAAGAACGCCATCACCGGTGGGAATAGCAGAGTCAAGTTCTGCCACTGACTTGTCATGGGGGGCACTTCTCCCCCACGCATGTTCCTGAAAAGTGCCCCCACTGCTTGTTCATTTCCTGCAATGACACAAGCAAAACTTCAAGCCTATGTGCCAAGGTCAGAGTAACTCACATCCAAATTCTAGGTTCCCAGTGAAAGTCCCTGTCCCCCCACCAAAAAAAAAACAATAACAAGAAAAACTTTTTCATATTTTAAATTGTGAATAAATAAGTCCTATTCAGATCACCCCATCCAAGGTCATGACCTCGGCACTCACTTCTCCTTGAACATTTATCTTGATTCACTCTACGGGAGCATTGACCTAAGTCCTGAAGACCAGCATCCAATCCCTTGTTGGCCCTATTGATCTCCATGAGTGGGCACAGAGTCAATAGTGAGATACTACAGCACCTGGATCTTCCTTAGTTACCTCTATGGCTGTTCTTTGGGATTATCTAAGGTCCTTACCCTAAGATACTCAAAGACTCACTCTCTAGAGTTCCTCTGAGAATTTCAAGAATTATAATACGGGATAAGCATGCTATGGCAAGCCATTGGCAAAGTCAACGGGGAAAGGACCAAGGGAAAGCTTTTTGAGAGAAAACAAACCCAGATAGGCTACTTTGAACAAAAAGCACTGGTGCCAGGTGCTTGTGATACTAGAGTACTACACTCAGGGCCTGGAACGTAAAGCGTGAGTAGTGAAATACACTCCTCCTTCCCACACCTCCTGGGTATTAACCAGATGTGAAGACTGGCAACCAGGGATGGTGGATCTAGGAGATTCTGTCCTTTGCCTTTGGCTGCACTGACAAAGGGCTTCATGGTACATCTGTGGCCACTTCTCCTGGGGCTGAGGTTATGGCAAGCCATGGGTTCAATCCATAGAATTACAGAAACAAAAACAAGAGCCGCCTGTGGTATTATTGTCACTGTTCTGGATGGGTCCCTGTGGTACCTCAGCAGCCCCAAACTGCTGGGCAGTTGGAAGAGACCAGGGATTTATGTGCACCCTAAGAGTCATCCTTCAGCATTCCCGGTTGTCTCTTTGGATCCCCGTGAAAAGTAAGGGAGCTCTGTGTTTTGTGTCATGTTACAGTCACCAAAATACGTAGAATTGAGGGAGAATTCCTTAGTTTCTGATGATAACAGTGGAAAGGTCTCCTGCCATTCACGTTCCCAGATCCAGGAGAGGAGGCCTATGATGTCTATGGAATATAGAGAGAGGGTGCTAAATGGTCAGCGAAGGCCCACAGGAGTGACAAGAAGCACAGAAATATACTCTTTCAAGCAAATAAGATGTGAGTTTTAAGTAAATCCCTGGAGCAGACGATTGGAAACCCTGGTTGGGTTTCTGAGCTGGAGAAGGGGTGAACTGTGCCACAGATGTGCTGGGAAGACTACACTGAGCTGGGCAGCAAATGAAGACCATGAGAAAGAATGCACAGTCAGGGCAGGACAGAAAGGTCCCTCATTTCCAGGCTCCCAGCATGACTCTCGGGGTCCAGGCTGGGAGCCTAAATCGGGCGGAAGTACTGTGCCCTGGTGAAGAATGAACTCCGCTGGAGTTCCTGCCTTGCGTGTCTCAAAGAGTCTCCTATGGAAACAGGCACTGTGGGCAGGGAGAGAGGACTGTCTCCTTGCCTTAGGGGCAAGAGAGTGTTGTGCTATATTTTTTTCCCAATGGTACCAGGGAAGAAACCCAGGACAGTTATGCTGACCTACATCCCAGTTTATCTTTACATTTAATTTTGAGACAGGATCTCACTAGAGTAGGGTGGGCTTCAATTTTTTATCCTCCTACCTTATCTTCCCAGAGTGCGGGATTATAGGTGTGCACCACCACACCTGGCTGGAGTGGTTTTCATAATTCACATTTCCAGAAATAGGCTTCACTAATGGCCCACCCTACACCCCGGAATCCCATAGTAGCCAGGCTCCTGTACAAACGTCTTAAGTTACAACTTCTGCAATTTTCTATTCATTTATGTCTTCTTCTTTTCTGTTCCTTATTGAGGTATAAGGAATGGAAGCTAGGGCCTTGGCATGGAGCAGCATACTCAGCCACTTTGGAATTTTGATTTTTAATTTTGTGACAGATACTCAGTAAGTTACTAAATTGCCCAAGCTGGACTCTGGACTTGTGCTTTTGTTCCTCCTGCCTCAGCCTCCAAGAGTGCTGAGGTTACAGTGTGTGCCACCATGCCCACCTGAATGTCTGCACTTTCCAGATTTCCCCAACTATCAAAAGAAGTTTGTCAGTCAGTTCTTCAAAACACCCAGGTTGTTGAAGCCCTGTGAGATCCTCTGAGCACCCAACCTGAGAGGTTCTCTGGCTGAATGCAAGCAAGTTCCTTTCCCTGGCCAGGTCCCACGTTTTCCAGCTGGAAAGTGGAGCAAGTCAGCAACACACATCTGTGTTCTCTCCAACAACCCTAAGAACCCAGAACTTCATTTTTGCTATTGT